GCGTCATATCTGACATCCTACCCCTCCCTCCCATCCCTTACCATGGCGCAGATCCCCTCTGTACTCGCTCAGTCGGATGTCGAGCAGGGCAATGATCCCGAAAGGGTACGCGATGCATTGTAGAGCGCGGCATGGCATGGCGTAGAAGAGCACCGCAAAGCGTAGTATCAACCTAGCATTGCAGTGCATGCCGTAGCATGGCACGGGAAATGAGGCCAGCGCTGCAGCGGAAACACGAGTCGAAACGAGCGGAAGCGCGGAAATGAGGCCAGCACTGCAGCGGGAGCACGATTCGGAACGAGCGGAAGCACTGAAATGAGGCCAGCGTTGCAGCGGGAGCACGATTCGGAACGAGCGGGGCCCGAAAATGAGGCCGGCGCTTCAGCGAGAGCAGCATTTTTTAAAACATGCATGCGAAAACCCAACTCCGGGGAAACCTGTGTGTAAAAGAAACAGTGCGCGGGGAGGGGGTCGGCCACTTTCAAACCGTCATCAGGGGAAGAGGGAGAGTAGTATTCATATTGAATAATTGTGGAGGGGGGAGGGGGGGGGGGCTGGCGCCAGCTGCACACACGCCACAGCCTGCTTACCAAACGACCTGGGCATTTTGGCTTGCCTGCAGGCCTCCCCGACATCCTCATTTCTCTTACCCTCATTCGTTTGAAACCGCACCCTCTTAAAGGCCAGAGACCGCCCAAGGACCCCTAGCTCCGAGGGCGGCGGCTCCCTGGACTCCTCCGGGACACCCGTGGCCTCGGGGGAGGGGACCTCGATGGGGGCCCTCGATGCGCGCGCCTCCAGAGGAGTCAGCCCCACAGGAAGGCTGCAATGGCCCCATCCCCGCAGGAAAACACCAAGCCCTCGGGGCCCGCAGCGCTGGGCAAAGTTCCCTCGAGGCCCCAGAGGGCCGTCGCCTCGGCAACGTGGGGGGCATGGCGCGATCCGCGGGCACGTCGTTCTGGAACTGCGGCGTCGACGCATTCCCGGTCCAGGCCACCACCTGCCTCGTCTTGAGCAGCGCGGGGGAGTTGCGCTCGACCGCTGATTTCAGCGCGTCGTGAAGTCCGCGCCCTCGCTTGGCAGCCTGGTCCGCCAAGTCATTGCAGCGCTTCTCCCGGCAGTCACCCTGCCGATGCCTTTTTACGCACTTGAAGACGATGGGGGCTTCATCTCCTGAACAACTGGCACCTCTATGGCCATGGATGCGGTGGAACAGCTGCTTCCATAGGCCCACGTTGTCACGTCGAGCTCCAGTGCACCAGCGACAGCCCTTGTGCAACCCGTCGGCCAGCGGCTGGTAGTCGGTGCGAACCCGAAATGGCGCAACCCCAACAGCCAACGCCTGAGGAATCGCGCGCAGCTCTGCCCTATCAGATGTCCGGCGCGGGCCAGGCAGCGGTCCAAAAGCAGTTCCGAAGTACAGAGGGTGTCCAACCACCACAAATCCCCATCCAGATCTAGAAGCCGCATCGCAGTGGAGAAGCTTCGCGCGAGAGCCGTCAGTGAATACACCACCCGTGACAACGAATGGATCACCGAGCGACCTCCCTCGACCAGCTTTGTCGCAGTGCCGCCGTCCAGAGTCATCCCCGCGGTGGCACTGCTGGCAACCCAGAGTAGAACAGATTTCCAGGCATGGTGGCTCTGGCCATGTCCAATACTTCAGAATCCACCGCATGCTCCCGCAATTTCGCCAGCGACGGGCAATGCCACTACCGATGGTGCAAGGTCCCAACAACATCTTCACACATAAGACAACGAGGAGAGGTGGCCAAGCATGCTGAAATAACCGCTGTTACGAAACATGACCTCCCATAACTGCAGCGCGAACAGCCGCCTTGGCCACGGGGTCCAGACACCAACGCTTCGCCTTCAGCCCAGCATGCAGCATGCCCTGAATAGGCGCCAACCAACAATCTGCGGGATCTCTGTGACTGGGCCCTGGTATCCCAGGCATGACATCTCCGCGTTTAGACCGCATAAGCCATCCCAGTGCCTCGAAGCCCTGCAGGGCAAGCCTGCGTGCAACCGAGGGCGACGTGACACGGAAGTCCAGAAGCTCACCAGACCTGGCACGGACCGCAACTGCCGACGAGCAGGTCCACTCCAGTGCAAGCAACGACCGTGCACGAGCTCTTGTTGCTCCAGTGACTAGCCGCCAGTTCTCCGCCTGATTTGCTGCAGCAGTGACTCGATACTGCGCTCGCCACGCCTTCTGCCTATCCAAATGAGTGACCTCGCCAGCGTGCACCACCATCACAGCCCAGTTGTGAATGGGTCCAATCATTGATACACACGCTGGCTGAGAGTCAGGCGACCGCGCCAATCGAGAAGCGATCCAGTGCGAGGCCCCAGCGGGTATGGCATCCCATCCCACCTTTACTTGCTTGGTCATGCGCTGGACAAAGTTCAGCGCACCTCCCAGAATGCACAGACCATGCGTGATGGCAGGGCCAATGGCAGCCCTCGCAACTTTCAGATATTCTGGCCCAAGTCCAGGAGTCGCTGGGGGCGTCGGGCGCGCTTAGGCATGGCTTTCACCCTGCGCCGAAGACTCTGGAGCGCACGCCCCCCCCCCCCCCCCCCCCCCGCGCCGACCTCGAGCCCCAGGGCCTCAAGCCAGGAATGGGCGCGGCACCCGACCTCCGAAGTCTCCGAGAGATGCGGGCGGGCGGCGCGGTCGTGAGGCGCCGCCAGCATAGCCCTGGACTTGGCCGCTTTAAGCCCCAAGTCCTGCAGGGAATCACAACGAAGACCAAGATGCAAGCCGCCTACCCTTCCAGGACATGCATCGGGGCAATCGCCCGCGAGGTTTGGTCGGCAAGACAAACGTCCAGCGTGCGCGACGTACTTGCGCAAGTGCTGGCAATGGCGTCGGCCTGGGGTGGGCGCTCGCCCAATGCGGAAACCATCAAAATCTGAGCGAACGCCATCGCACACTTGCGTCCATGCAAAAATCCTTGCCCAGCGACCGCCGAGCGCGACGTAGCCCGCAACCGCGCCAATTTGCGCGGCGCCCCATTCACGGCGAGGGCGCAAGCCAGCAACTGACGCGGACAACCATGTTCACGAGCTGCCTCGGCCAAGATGTGCCAGGCAATACGGTCGAAGCACTTCTCGATGCCCACAATGGAGGTGGCCACTCCAGGCCCGTCGGCTAGACCCGCCTCAGCATGCAGTAAGACGAGAGAGGCAGCATCCAAGGTTGTCTTGCCAGCCGCCAAGGCGAATAATGGCCGACCATGCGCAAGAAACCACTCGCGAAGCTGTTGGCCACGAACCTGAGACCAGACACGGTGGGCGGCAACCAGCTACGCAATGGGGCACCATCCCCCTTTGGCCCCGCCAGCTATGCAATGTGCACTGCCATCATCTGTGTAGGCCAACGCTCCCAGTGCTCAGCAAGCCACATGATGTAGATGAGGAGGGGCCGCACTTCGTCGCCCGCGACACTCAATGACCGCGGTGCCAGCCTGTCCGCTCCTTGCCCTGTGGTCCATCGGGAGCTCTTCGCTGCCTGCGCGCATCAGCAGTGCGAGGGGCAGGCAGTGCTGCCTTCGGAAGTTGCTGGATGGCCTGAAAAACTTTCGCGGCGTCGTCGAAGCCCGCCAGATGCCGAGTCTCGTAAGCGCGACAACCGTGGCCCGCACCCTCGACCTGGGACCAGGTAGAGCAGCTCGATGCAGGCAATGCCCTCCGAATCCTAGACCAACCGCCAGTCTGATCATCGGCCGCATGCTGCGCGCCCGTCGCGTGGATCTCGTGGCGCTTGACCTGAGAGCGCGGTGAGCCGAGGGGCTTCGTGAAAGAGAACAGCGGTTTGATGCGGCCAGCCTCGCAGTCTCGTGACCGGTTCGAGAAGGTCTTGCGGCGCTGGTGCATGGACTTCCGCCCCTGCATGTCGGCGACGCGCCGGGGCCAGACGACCGCTGCGCGCGCGGCATCTCGGAACGCGGTCCGCGCATCACTTAGGCCCGCCGCCGGGCAGGAGTTCGCGCGGTAGGCCTCAGGAGCAGGAAGAACAGCAGGAAGAAATGCAGGAGGAAATGCAGGACCGTCGGGGGCTTCGCGACGGCGCCCCCCCCCGCGGGCGGTGGCGCCCCATGCCGCCTTCGCCCCGCATTGGGGGGGGGTCCGCCTGATCGCGGAGGGCGTCGCCAGGTGCCGCGCGGCGATCTCGGGCAGCGCTGCGAGCTGGCAGCGGCTCGAGGGTTTCCAGCGGCCCTGCGCCGACGTCACCGGCCTCCCCTTTGAGGAAGGGGCAGGGCAAAGCTCCGCGCGTAAGGTTGTCGGCTGCACGCCCGCCGCCCCGGGCGTAGACCTGGCCCGCCCGTGCACCTTCTGCGGCGGCGGGAGCAGATCCGACCCCGCGCTGTAGTCCGCGCGCGCCGCCTCGTCCGCTTCCGACTGGGTGTCGCCCGCCGAGAGGAGCAGCCCTGCGGCCTTCTCGACGTTGCCTTCGCCGCGAGACGCGCCTCCGCCAAGGCGCCCAAGGGTCGGCTCCGAGACGCGTGCTCTGTGATGGCAGCCCCCAACTCGACGAACCGCTACGCCGCGCTCGCCACCCCCCTTGGCCATGCCAGCACCGCCGCCGCGTCCCGCAGCAAGTGGGCCACGCGCCTCCACTGCGGGACCTTCAAGGGTCAGCTCCGAGACGTGGGCACTGCGATGGCAGCCCCCATCGCGACTAGCCGCTACGCCGCGCTCATCACTTCCCCCTGGCAAGGCCAGCGTCACCGCCGAGCCCTGCAGCAAGTAGGTCACGTACCTGCAGGTCCTTCAGCGCGCAGGCCGGCGCCAGGCACGAGCGGCGTCAGGGGCAGCTCAGGATTCGAGCCGTGGCCCGTGCGCGCGACCTCGTCCACCTCCGTCTGGATGTTGCCCATGGAGCGGTCACATGGCCGTGCCTGCTTCCCTTGGGGGGGGGGGGGGGGGTCTTGGGGCGCTCAGGCCCCCCCCCCCCCCCCCCCACCCCCCCCCTTGGCCTGCGCGCCATCGAGGGTCAGACGGCGGACTGGGCCACTGCGCCGCGGGAGGAGCTGCGCGCCAGGCTGCGGAAGGCCAAGGCGCGGCTCTTCGCCAGCAAGCCACTCCGCGCAAGGACGCACGCCATCGCCAACAAGGCCAAGCAGTGCGCCGAGCGCCTGGAGAAGGTGGAGGGCAACAAGCGGAAGGCGCAGGAGGCCTTGCGGCGGGCCGTGGAGGTGGTTGAACGCGCGGAGAAGGTGCATGCTGACCTCCTGGAGCAGCGGGTGGCGCTGCAGGCCGAGCTGGTGCAGCTGCAGCAGCAGGCGCCCCAGGCTCCACAGCCGCGGCCTGCGGGCCAGGCCATGGCGCAGGACGCCATCGGCGGGCTCGGCATCACGGTGGGCGAGCTGGAGGCCGTCGTGCTGCAGCAGCTCTCGGCCCACCCGAACGAGGAGCAGCCAGTGCCAGCGGAGGCGTATGGCAGGCGTGCTGGGCGCGCGCATTGCGGAGTTGTGCATGGCCAAGCGGGCGCGGCGCGTGGAGGCTCCCGCCGAGGAGCAGGCCATCGCCAGCCAGGACCTCGCCAGCACCGCAGAAGAGGTGCGTGATGGCGCAGAGCGGGACGGGCAGTCCCAGCCAGCGCCCGAGGCAGCAGCGCCTGGAAGCGGCAGCGGCGCAGCCGTCGTGCCGCGCTGGCAGCCGGAGGAGGAGTCGGTGGAGCAGCTCCAGCAGCGGCTGCGGAAGCATGGCCTGGAGCTCGAAGGCTGCGAGGAGTCAGACGCGCGCGCCCGTTGCGTTGCGGTGGCCAGCGGGGGCTTCCAGCCTTACTAGGACCCTGCTGATCCTCAGCACGTGGTTTGGCGCCATGGCGAAGGGCAGCATCTTCGCAGCGAACGCGGCGGCGGGGGGGGTCCCTGGCGCCGTGCGTCGAGGGCGCCTGCGAGCGGGCAGAGGCCGGTCCTCCTGGTCCAGGAGCATCGCGCCAGGGACCACGACGGGCTGGCCGCCTTGCAGCAGGCCATGATGGACCACGGGTACGCGGGGCTCTGGGCGCCAGCGGTCCAGGGGCCGCGCGACGAGGCAGGCGCCTCTGGCGGGGTGGCGGTGCTTGCGCGCTCGCACATTATAGTCACCAGCCTTCCTTTCCTGGAGAGACCGCTGGCCGCGCGCCCGGTGGTCGCCCATGTGCGCTGGGGAGTGGCGGGCGGGTTCGTCGCCATTTCCGCGTACTTCCACGACAGTGCGGGGTGGAACGGTGACTACCAGCACGTGGCGGCCGTTCTCGTGAAGTACCTGGCCAAGCTCAGCGCGGCTGGGATCGACTGGGTCGCGGGCGGTGGCTTCGACATTGAGCCCGGGAAGTTTCCCGTGCAGCAGCTCCACGGGGTCCGTGGGCTGTGGGCGGCGGCTGAGGATGCCACATGCAGGCCGCGTGCTGGGGCCTGGTCGACGCTGGACTACTTCCTCTTCTCAGCCAGCCTTGCTCCGAGGCTTGGCAGGCCGCGTTTCGACGAGTACGGCACGACGAAGCCGCACCTGCCCGTCGCGATGGAGATGCATGCGCAGGACCTTCCGATGCAGGAGCGGGTGGCGAGGGGCCCGAGGCCGATCGGCCCTGTGCCGCCCGTGGGCTGCAGCCGCGGCGTCCAGGACTGGCGCATGCCCCGGGGCAAGGTGCGCGCAGCCGTCTGCCGAGAGCACTTCGCCGAGGCATGGGGCGCCGTGGTGGCTACAGTCGAGCAGGAGCTTCTGGGCCGCTACGACGTCGTCGGGCATGACAGTGCCAAGTACGTCGGCAGGTCTGGCGCTCTGGATACGACCCTCGTCGCTGTCAAGTGGCGACCCCCTCGACGCAGGGCCGCGCTTGGTCGCCAGGCCGCGGCGTGCCGCGCGCCGTCGAGGTCGGCTCGGCACCTGATGGGGGTCGGGACGTACGTCGCCAAAGCGGTCCGCCAACTCCACGGCGCCAGCCTCCTCTGCCCGCTGTTCGAGGCCCAGTTTGACAAGCTGGCGGGGTCCCTGCTGGAGGCGGCGGCGTACCGCGACAAGATCATCGCTAGCCGCGGCACGCTGGCGTTCCTGCCGCGCTGGGTGCAGGACTTCTTCGGCCAGCGGATGCAGACGTTCGCGCAGGCCGACTTCGCGGGCCAGGCGTCGAGAGTCGTGGAGTACGCTAGCGGTCAGTATGAAGCGGCCCTCGCGGCGCAGCAAAAGAAGTGGGTCAAGTGGGCCAACGAGTCGTTATCCCACGGAGCTGGCCGCGCCCATCGGTGCTCCAAGGTCAGGCGTGCGGGAGATGCAGCCGCGGGCGTAGGTGTGGCGGTGTCATGGGCAGCCGCAGGCTCGCAGGCCTGGGGGCATTGAGGAGTGGGATGTGCTGCCCGAACTCACCGTCGAGAAGGTGAAGAGGGCTGCGCTCTCATTCCCCACGGGCATGGCGATGGGGCCCGCCAAGTTAGGCATGCGTGCCCTGTCTTTCCTGTCCGAGGACAGCGTGCATCTTTGCGCGCAGCCCTCCATGCGCATGGAGAAGATGGGCGCGTGGCCTGAGGGCCGCCTGTGGCGCGCCATGAGTCGGCTGCCCAAGCCCTCTGGAGGGTGCCGCCCTATCGCGCTCATGCATGATGTGGTGCGCTGGTGGTCGAGGGCGTGGGCGGACATCTCCAAGGGCTGGCTCATGCAGCACCCCAGCGTCGACATCTGGGGGCTCGGCGCGGGCAGGTCTTCGTCAAATGCAGCGTTCGACCTGGGCCTCGCGACCGAGGTAGCGGTCGCGTTGGAGGAGCAGGTGGTCGCCGTGCTCCAGGACGCCTGGAAGTTCTTCGAGACTGTGACCCCCGAGGCCCTGATACAGGAGGCGCGGCTGCTCAAGATGCCGCTGCCGCTGGTCTGGCTTTTGGTGGAGCTCTACCGGCAGCTCAGGCGGCTGCAAGCGTTCGGCTCGGTGTCCTACGAAGTTGTGTCCTACCAAGTGGCGCTGGCTGGATGCACGCACGCGTGCGCGCTCGTGTCGGTGCTGATGCACCGCGTGCTAGGGCGGGCGCGCTGCATGGGCGTCACTCCCAGGGCCCTCGTAGACGACGTCGCTCTTCAGTGGGTCAGGACCGCGGGCAGCAACGTCGGCGTCTTGTGGGCCGCGGTCACGCGCTTCCGCGTGGAGGCCAAGCAACTGGGCATCATCGTGCAGCCCGCCAAGTCTGGCTACGTGACCTCGTCTAAGGGCCTAGCCGCAGAGTGCAGGAAGCATGCGGGATCCCGCGGCTTGCAGCTGCTACACTGGGCTCGCAATCTAGGGCACGAGCTTGGAGGAGGCAGGATCCAGCGACGGCGGAGGCGCTGGCCCCGCGGCGCGGGCGTCTGGCGGCTTTGAAGCGTGCTGCTGGCCGCAAGGTCACCGTGCTGTGGCGCACGGGGCTGCCCACTAGCGCCGGCCACGGCGCGGGCGTCGTGGGCATCTCCGACGATGAGTTGCAGCGGCTGCGGGCTGAGGCCAGCCGGCTGGCGGGGGCGCGGCCAGGCCCGTCGGGCGCCGCGATCTCCCTGGCCTCGCAGCGCAGCGCGAGGTTTGATCCTGTCTACGAGGCGACGGTGGCGCTCGTGGTCAGGTACTCCAGTTGGGTCTGGGAGCAGAGGACATCGTTGGGCAGGCTTCAGCGTGCGTGGGCCTCCATCACGCAGCGGCTGGTCGAGAAACCGACGTGGGGGCTCGCGCGCGGCCCGAGCGCCTCGACGACGCTCGCGCTCTGGAGGGTCGGCTGGCACATGCGGTCTAGCCTGGTGCTGGTCACTGACGAGGAGCAGCACGTCAACCTGATCGCCACCTCGCCGTCGGACCTCAAGGCTTACCTCGTCGAGGGGGTCAGCCGTTGGCAAGGGCGACAGATCCTGAGCCACTTCGGCGGCGCGCAGCCCACGGGGCCGATCTGGATGCGGGTCCTGAGGCTGTGCGTGGGTGGCAAGGGTGCCGCTGTTGCCGAAGTGCCTGCAGCCGTCAGCCTCAGGATCCACTGGGCAGGCACGCCGTAGACCAGGCAGGGGCAGCTAGACGTTTTGGGTTCGCTCCCGATGGTAGTTGTCTGGCGTGCGGAGCGGAGGCGGACGCACCTGGTCACAGGCTGCGCGGCTGCGAGGCCCTGCTGCGCGCGCGCCAGGCTAGCCCCCCTGGAGGCAGCGAGCTTGGCACGGCATGTGTCGTTGCGAATAGGCCGTCGGTAGAGCAGGACGTCCTCCCTGACCGACTGCAGCAGATATTGATTATTATGCGCGACAAGGGCCTGCAGGCAGGCGGCGTGGGGGTCGCGGACTTCAGCGGGTTCGAACATGAGGTCGGGCTACCCGTGCCGCCGCCGCGCGTGCCGCCTGCGGCCGACGAGGCGGAGGTCAGGCTCTGGGGTGACTGAAGCGGCGCGAGCGACGGGCAGCGCGGGAACATTGCGTTCACCGATGGCTCGGGCTTCGCGAGCAGCATGCCCGAGCTGAGGCGCTGCGGGTGGTCGCTGGCCCAGCTCGGCTCCAACGGGGCGCCCGTTCGCACGGCCTTCGGGACCCTTCCTGACCGCCTGCAGTCGGTGGGTCGCGCCGAGCGACACGCGCTCCTGCAGGTCACCAAGCTCCTGGGGCAGCAGGCGCGGTTCGTGGCCACTGACCTGCTGGCGCTGGCCCAGGAGGCTAGCAGCTGGGGGCCAGAGCTGGAGCGAGCCAGGTCGGTGCACGCCACGGTGTGGGAGCACCTGCGGCAGCAGCCATGCCGCCCCGAGGTGTTCTGGGTCCCCGCCCGCGAGGGCGTCGACGGGTACCTGGCGGCGGGGCTTCGCCCAGTGCTGTGCGCGGGCAACCTTTGGGCGGGCTGGTTTGCCAAGCAGGGGGCTTTGCAGCGCACCGTGTCCGAGGTTTACCCGGATTTCTACGCCATCGAGGTGCAGTACTTCAAGCAGGTGGCGTTTTACATCGGATGGGCCATGCAGCGCTGCCTGGCCATCAAGGACTGGGCCCCAGAGGCGCGCGACGTGCCCGCGGCGCCGCCGCCGCCCGCGCCGAAGCTGACGGTGGTGGAGCACTCCCTGGCGCGCGTGCAGGGCAAGCGCGGGGTGATGTGCACCGGGTGCGGGCGCCGATCCCGTGCTGAGGCAGGAGCCGCGGCGCGGCAGTTTGTCGGGTCGAGCTGTTTGCCGACGCCGCTGGCACGCCTCAAGACGGCGGCTGAGGTGGCGCAGTTCGGTGCGGGGCCATATTGGATGGGCGACGCCGAGGGCCTGGGCGCTGAGGCGCGTTTCGCGAAGGGGACGGCGGTGGCGCGGCGCTGCACCTCGGGCATCGGCTGCGGCGCGCGGGGCCCGCCATCTTCTGCGAGGTCTGCGTCGCGTGGATGCGGGCCCGAGCGGCGAGGGGGCTGCAGAAGGCGTGCCGCGGGCCGGGCCGCCCACTGACAAGGGGCGCCACCAGCGCACCTACGTCAGCGACCTGGCGGCCAGGAGGGACAGGCATTTGCATGGTCTGGACCCCAAGACGGGCAGGTCATGGGCTACGGGTACGCTGGTGCACGACGAGAGCAGTTCGGTCGGCGACAGCTCCGATGAGGGCACCGACGAGGCGGTCGTGGCCCATGGCTATGTGGAAGCCCCGCTGGCGGACGCGCAGGGGACCGCGGCGCGCGGGTCTCCCGCAGCGCCGTGTGGCGGGCGCGCGGAGGAGGCCCTGAAGGAGGGTGCGCAGGAGACCGCGACACGCGGGGCCCCCGCAGAGCTGCGAGGCGGGCGCGCGGAGGAGGCCCCGCTGGCGGGCGCGCAGGGGGCCGCGACACGCGGGGTTCCTGTACCGCGGAGAGGCGGGCGCACGGATGCCAGCCGCCTGCTTGCGTAGGTCGCGGCGCGCCGCAGCGCTTGCGCGGCGCCAGCGCAGTCCTGGCAGGAACGGCTGGCGGTGTTGTGGCGGCGCGTTGCGACTCGCGAGGCTGGTCTGGCGGGTGTTGCCGATGGTGGGGCTGGCAGTGTTCCCGCGGCGCAGGTCGTGGAGGCGTTGACCGACGCGGGGTGCGCTGTTGGTGCTCGCGCCGAATCATGGGCAGTGCGGATTCAGGCGCTGCTGCCGCGGCTCCAGGCGCGGGCCGAGCGGCTCTGCGGCGGCGCTGGGGCGGCCCCCGGGGAGGCGCCCGCGGGCTTTGCCGCGCGGCTGCGGCGGCGCGGCATCCGCGTGGCGAGGCCGCCGCCCGCCGCAACGGCCGCCGCGGCCGCTGGCCCTGGAGCGAAAGCTGGACCGCTTGGGGCGGTGGTGGATCGAGCCGCTGCTCGACGCCGACGGTGCGGCCAGCGACTGGCTCGAACACTGCGTCCCGTTCGCGGAGGCGGTCCTTGCCCGGCCCTGGTGGCGGCGTTTCCTCAGGGCGATGGGCAGCGCGGCTCAGGAGTTGGCGGAGGCGTGGTGCCGCCGCGCATGGCGCCGCGATGCGAGGCTGCGCGGTGCCTACGCCAGGCATCGCTCGGACCTCACGCTGAGCCAGCGGCGCGTCACCGACAGCATGCGGAGGTACGAGGTGTGCTGCCTCCGCAACTGGCTGGCGGCGCTTGCGGGCCTGCCGCCCGTGCTGGGATGAGCTCGGGCGGTGCGTCGCAGGCCGCGGCCTGGGGCGGCGGCGCCTCGCGGGGTCCAGGGCCGCCTCAGCGCGCGGGCGGCGTCGCAGGAGCGCCGCGGCGGCGAGGGCAGCGACGCGGGCGAGGGCGTTGCCAGAGCGCGCCCTGTCTCTGTCCCTCTGCACGCCCAGCGGCGGCGGCGGCGCGTTGCGCTGGCCGCGGGCCGCGCCCCCCAGGCGCAGGCGGTGGCACGGTCGTCGTGTCTTTCGGCTTGGCCTTCGACCTCATCCGAGGTCCCCCGAGGCGCTGTTTGCTAGTCAGACGGCGCCCTCAGGCTCCTGATCTCCTGATATGCTCCTCGTCCTCGAAGATTGCTGGGTCGTGGCTCTAAAAGGGGCACTGCGCGGCCCCAAAGTACGTTGCACGAGAGGCGCACGTACATCTCTTCACCCCACGTTTGTTGCCCCCCCCCCCCCCTCCCCCCCCTCGTGCACGCGCAGAGGGGGCGCAGCGGAGGCCCATGCCGAGAAACTGGCTGCTTGCCTCCAGGGTGCCCTGGGATTCTTGGGTTTCGATGGTTTTACGATGGAAAGCGTGACGTTCCCCCCGCACAGTATCAATGGACGTCCTGGGGTCTCAGGGTTGGGTTTCTTGTGGGAAGTTTCTTGTGAACTGGCCTCCGCTGTTGGGGGAGGGGAGAAGACTTCTTTGAAGCACCCCGGTCTTTTAGAAGGCGGGGGCCTTGTCTGCAGATCTACGGCTGGCGCCTTTTGAGAAACAGCTTCCTTCCAAGAACCTGCCCCCCTCCCCCATACCCCCTTGTGCGCGCCGCCTACTATGGTTCCCCCTGTCGCTGGGGGTCCAAATCGGACCTTGGACCTCTCGTGGGGTGCGTTCTGCTTAGGAATTCGAAGCAGATCCAGCCGTGGCAACGAGGGCGGCCCAGGACGATCAAACGTCTCCAAGAAAGCGAGTCCCGTTCTTCGAACCTCGAACCTCCGAGCTTATCCCTCCGTTGTGCGCGCCGCCAGCCCCCGTTGACGAACGCCCGAAGCGCTGGCAGGTGAAGGAACTCCGCGAGAAGTTCAAGGCGCGGCACAGCAAGCGGGAGGCCCCCGCGCATCGCCGCCGGGAAGCCGCCCGCCGGGCTGCCCGACCTTTGCAGCCAAGACGTCGAAACGAGGACCAGCTTGGACACTTGTCGGGGGCAGCGGTGGGGGGGATTCGGTCGGACCGAGTTATGATATCGAGATCGGTTCGGAGAGGGTATCCTACTATGCGTCGGGCTTGTTGGATGTTATTGTGCATCCTGGGGTGTTCTGGCCGGCGCGTTCTTGAATTATGGCGGTTTGCCTTGAGTGTGGTCGTATCGAGGATCAGAAACAATGCCTAAATATGATTTGTCACGGTCCTCGCAGATTTCTTGGGTCTGCGCTGGGCCCCTTTGGCGGCGCCTCTGTCGCCGCCCCTGGCACGCTCCGCGCGCCAGGGAGGGGGGTTCAGCGCAGATCCAAGAAATCCGCGCGGACCGTCACAAGTTCATGCTCATGCAGTTTTTGCTTCGTTCCTCCAGGATCGGTGCAGTTGAGGGACGCATCGACCCACCATCGCCCACTGCTCGCTGGTAGGGGTCTGATGGCCCCACCAACGCCCGGGCACGTGCGGACTTGCTCTCGAGGGCCGATTCGCCGATTCGCCAATTTCAGTCCGATGTTTCTCCCCCCGTGTGCCAGCCCCCCCACTCACCCTATCGTTGCCAGGGGGAGGGGGAGGGGGAGGGGGAAAGGGGAAGGGACAGGGAGGGGATGGGGGAGGCGAAGGGGAGAGGGAGGGGCGGGGAGGAGAGGAGGAGGAGGAGGAGGAGGAGGAGGAGGAGGAGGAGGAAAAGGAGGAGCGAGGAGGAGGAAGAGGAGGAGGAAGATGAGGAGGAGGAGGAGGAGGAGGAGGAGGGGGAGGGGGATGGGGGAGGGGAAGGGGGAGGGGGAGGAGGAGGAGGAGGAGGAGGAGGAGGAGGAGGTGGAAGAGGAAGAGGGAGAGGAGTACTAATAATAAGACGAAGAAAAAGACTACTCATACACCGAATAAACATAATAATACTAGTATTATTACTACTATTATTATTAATACTATCACCTGATACTGATACGAATAACAATAATACTAATGCGGATAACAATACTACGGCTAATCATAATAATAGCAGTGCGCATAATACAAACAATAATACGAAAAATAATACTAACACCGGTGACACTACTAATACTAGTACGACGACTAATACTAGTAATACTGATAGTAAGAATCATAAGGCTAGCATAAACAATAATACTAGCATCAATAATACGAATACGAATAATACTAATAACTAAAACATGAAAGTGCTAATACTAATACTACTAGTAATCCTAATACTACTAATAATACTATTCATACTAATACTAATACTTATAATACTAATAACAATAAGAATCATAACACAATTAATACTAATAGTAATGGAATAATTGTAATATGAATAGAAATAAGAATGGTAATCATACTGATAACAATAACAATAATAAAAATAATAATTCTATCAATGCTGATCATATTAAATACTAACACGACTAATAATACTACTGATACTACTACTACTACTACTACTACTACTACTACTACTACTACTACTTATACTAATCAGACTAATAATACAACTAATCAAACTAATACTAATAATATTATTCATAATATTAATTATACTATTACTAATACTATTACGAATAATAAATAGTAATACTAATACTAATGCGAATAACAATAATAAGACTAACACTAATACTACTGATACGAATAATAACAATAATAATAATACCAGTAATAGTAATACTAGTAATGATAATCATAATGATAATAATATTAATAGTAATACTAATGATGATGATGCTGATAATAATAACAGTAATGATAATAACAATGATAATGGTAATAATGATACTAAGAATAATAATACTAATACTAAGAATAATAATACTACTCATAATAATACTGATAATAATGATAACCATAATACTAATGATAATAATAATAACATGAATACTACTACTAATACTAATCATAATATTCATGAAATTATTATTCATAATAATACTATAGGAGGAGGAGGAGGAGGACGAGGAGGAGTAGGAGGAGGTGGAAGAGGAGGAGGAAGAGGAGGAGGAGGAGGAGGAGGAGGAAGAGGATGAGGAGGAGAAGGAGGAGGAGGAGGACGAGGAGGAGGAGGAGGAGGAGGAGGAGGTAGGAGAGGAGGAGGAGGAGAAGGGGAGGCGGATGAGGAGGGAAGAGGCGGAGGGGGAGGAGGAGAAGGAGGAGGAGGGAGGTGGAGGAAGGAGGAGGAGGAGGATGAGAAGGATGACAAAGGAGGAGGAGGAGGCGGAGGAGGCGGAGGAGCGCGGAGGCGGAAGAGGAGAGGAGGGGAGGAGGAGAGGAGGAGAACAGGGAAACGGTGGAGGAGGAGGAGGAGGAGAAGAGAAGGAGGAGGAGAAGGAGGAGGAGGAAGGAGGAGGAGAGGAAGAGGAGGAGAAGGAGGAGGAGGAGGAACACGGAGGAGGAGGGAGGATGAGGAGGAGGATCAGAAAAAGGAGGATCAAGAAAAGGAGGTTGAGGAGGAGGAGAGGAGGAACAGGAGGAGGGGAGGAGGAGGAGGAGGAGGAGGTGGAGGGGAGGTGGAGGAGGAGGGAGAGGAGAGGGAGAGAAGGAGAGGGAGAGGGATAGGGAGAGGGAGAGGGGAGAGGGAGAGGAGAGGAGAGAGAGAGGGAGGAGGAGGGGAGGAGGAGGTGGAGGAGGAGGAGGAGGAGGAGGAAGCGGAGGAGGAGGAGGAGGCGGAGGAGGAGGAGGAGGAGGAGCAGGAGGAGGAGGAGGAGGAGGACGAATAAAACGAAGGCGAATAAGAATACCACTAATAATAAAAAGAAGACGAATACTACTAAGACGAAGAAGAAGAACAATATTATGAATCATACAACGCATAATAAGAAGATTCAGAAGATTAATAAGAATACGAATGCGAATAATACGTCGACGAATAGTAAGAATGTTACTAAGACGCATAAGAATAAAATGAAGAAGGATGAGGAGGATGATAATAATATTAATTAGCATACGACTACTAATAGTACTAAGAAGAAGAATACGAATAATAATACTAATAAGAAGAAGACGAATAATACTAATAAGAAGAAGACGAAGATGAACAATACTAGTAAGACTAAGAATAATAAGAACACCAACCATAATAATAATAAGAAAATACTAAGACTAATAATAGTATTAAGAAGACGAGTAAGAATACTAAAAAGACGAATAATAATACTAATAAGAAGAATAATCAGAAGGCGAATAAGAAGAGGAGGAGGAGGAGGAGGAGGAGGAGGAGGAGGAGGAAGAGGGAATACAACCAATACCAAACTACTAATAGTAATAATAATACTAAGAAGAAGAAGAGGAGGAGGAGGAGGAGAAGGAGAGAGGAGGAGGAGAGGAGGAGGAGAGAGGAGGGAGGAGGAGAGGAGGAGGAGGGAGGGAGGAGGAGGAGGAGAAGGAGGAGGGAGGAGGAGGAGAGGAGGAGGAGGAGGAGGAGGAGGGAGGCAGGGAGGAGGCAGGGAGGAGAAGGAGGAGGAGGAGGAAGAGGAGGAGGAGGGGAAGGAGAAGGAGGAGGACGAGGAGGACGAGGGGCATGAGAAGGAGGAGGAGGAGGAGGAGGGTGAAGGAAGAGTTGGAGGAGGGGAGGATGAGAGGGAGAGGAAGAGGAGAGGAGGAGGAGGAGGGAGGAGGAGAAAAGAGGAGGAGGAGGGAGGAGGGAGGCAGGAGGAGGAGGAGGAGGAGGAGGAGAGGAGGAGGAGGACGAGGAGGAGGAGGGAGGAGGAGGAGGAGGAGGAGGAGGAGGAGGAGGAGGATGAGGAGAGGAGGAGGAGAGGAGGAGAGGAGGAGGAGGAGGAGAGGAGGTAAGGGGGAAGGAAAAGGAGGAGGAGGAGGAGGAGGAGGAGGAGGAGGAGGAGACTGAGACGGAGGATGAGGGAGGAGGAGGGAGGAGGACCTCAACTTGGGACCTTGGTGCTGGTCGCCCGGCCGTGCCTGGGATCTGGATCGGGGTGGGCTCGTGGCTGGGGCCCGCTGCGGCCAGGCAATTGCTCGGCGCTCTCCTTCTGGCCCGCACTGTGTCTGCAGGTCGCCCGCGGGGGCCCGTCCGGGCGGCGCGGAGGTACAGCGGAAACCCATGCAGGGTGTTCCGGGTTTCTTGGGTTTCGACGGTTCTGCGATGGAAAGCGTGACGCTCCCATTCCAGAAATCAATGGATGTCTTCTAGGCTCTCAGGAGTGGGTTTCTTGTGGGAGGTGTCTCGTGGTCGAGCTCCTACTGTAGACGGAGCAGGGTCCGCTCCCCGCCCCCCCCGCGCCTTGGGCGGGGGGGGGCGTGGGAGCGGAGTCCGTGCCCCCCCCAAGACTTGGGGGAGCGGGGTCCGCCCCCCCGCCCCCCGCCCCTCCACTCCCTGGGCGGGACGTGCGCGCGCTCGTGGCCGCCACGGGGTGCCCCAGCGGGGCGCCCCAGCGGGGCGCCGTGCCCCTCTCGACATCGGGGGCTGCCGGAGGCGTCCCCAGCTTCTCGCGGCGCTTCGGAGCCGCGGGGGCCCTCCGGGCCTCGTTTGGGGGTGCTCTGGAAGCCATCCTGGCCTCCCTGGAAGTCCCGAGGTGCACAGCTGCCGCTGCCGCAGGGAGCGGATCGGGAGGGATCGCGAGTGTCAGTGACAAGCGCGCCGTCTCTGAAATTAAGCACGTTACTCATTCGCCTTTTTCCCGATATTGATCCAACCTTCACTGCCGAGTCGGTTCCCGAGTTGTCCTTTCCCCAGTCCTTGAGGGAATATTGAGACCGCAATGTGTACCAGCCTACGCCCAGAAGGTCTGGTCCAGGTCGTTATAATGTAATGGTTGCATGTGCCTCCACGTGTATACATATATATATATATATATACATATACATATACACATGCATACACATATGCATGTATGTATGTATGTATATATGTATGTATGTATGCATGAATGTATGTATGGATGCATGCGCATGCGTGCATGC